CAAGGGAATGAAGACTGATCAGTATTTTAAAACAAATGTTTATGCAGGTAGTATTTTTAAAACAACAAAAACATTTTTTCCGATTATTTACTGAAAGTATTTGATGAAACCCTTAACAGTATGTGGTATTTGTGTGTTCCAGTCGAAAAACAACTTTATTTCTTTAAACACTGTATGGCTTTTGCATGAGAACTCTTCACAGATTTCAATTCCCTTCATATGTGAGTAACATATTTGAGTCAAGCCTTTAAATCAAACTGTGACTGAAGAAAAATCAAACAAGGTCTCAATATGACCTCAATTTAGTTTTGTTTGTTTGTTGTTGGGTATTTTTTTGTTTGGTTTTGTTTTTTAATTGAAAAAAAAAATAATTGAAAACTATCCTGACATATGCAAATAATTCCCCACTGATATTCAACAATGTTTAGCTTGCTGGTAGTGTCACAATGTGGATACATGTGTATTGCTTTGTATCTATCTGGCCCCACAGGAATATTGTAAATGAAATGGGCCATTATGCTACTCAGGCACTAGGAAACAACATAATAGCTAAAAGATAGGTTTAAACCTGCTGAGCACTTACCCAGTTTTTCTTTTTCTTTTTCTTGGAGTCAGCGTCATTACCACTGCCAATGCTTGAATGGCTCGTGGCGCTGTTGATGCTGGACACGCTTTCTGAAGAGTGTTGCCGTCTTATACGCAGATCTAAAGAAAAGAAAATACTGTGAAATCCACCTGTCCCTGTTCCAGTGTAACAGTCATTCTTGTATTTATGTAGCCACGTCCTCCTCAAAGCAAGCCTAGATGAACATAAATGGCATTGATGCCTGCAGCGGCTTGGATTCAAACTATTGCAGTCTGTGAGCAGCCACATGGGAGTCAATGGTGTTGCACACAATTAGGCTAATACTTAGGAGCATCTCCAAACTGGTCATTTATTGGCATGAAGGCAGTGACCCTGCATAAGCAATCTATGCAAGTGTAACCTCATATCTAACCAGTTTCTGTTATAGATGGATTATTTGACTTCTTACTTTCACACATACTACAGTTCTGAGGATTATAGGGGCCACTTGACTTGTAGTAGGCCTAATCAGTGTTGAGATGCTACCTTCTAATGTACCATGATGGAAATAAGCAGTCATGAGTTCATTAAAAACAAATGAAACAAAATACCAAGAAGTGGAGAATTTTAGAAATGATTGATTAGGCTTTTGAGTTTCAATTTCTTAAAAGTCTCTGGTAACTGTATCTTAATCACTGGAAAATATCCTTGCAGTACATAGCCATTAATACCAAGGGAAATTACTTTTTAGATTATATTTTATTTCCTAGAAGTTAGCTTTCCTATATTCAAGTCATGCAATGAAAGGACCTTGGGGCAAACATCTAAAGAATGACCTCTTCAAAGAAAGATCAATGACACTTTAAAAAATGAATGCTGCTATTATTTTCTTTCTCCAAGTAATTCCTTTGCTGTTGCTTATCAACAGGCACTTCTGAAGCATATATTTATCATGAGATGTCTGCCCAACTGTAACGAGAAATTAATTCAGAATTTAAAATGCCTGCTTTCCTGCACTGATTTAGCACTTGGTGAAGGCACCAAACTGGTGTCAGTCCATCACTTAATAATGAGTACATTGATTTTCAGAGCTACATCCTTATACTGCACTTCCAACATATAACCATGTTTCACCATAAGGTTTTGCTAGTGTCTTGGGCAAACTTCAATACACAATTGCAGCGACAGGGTTAAGTCTTGACACCCAGCAACCGATTCTTGGCCACCCAGTTCTGAGAAGACAAGGCTTCAGGAACTAACTCTGTGGAAACAGGAAACTCATGCAAAAACATACCTTTGTGGGTATGATCGGGACCATTCAGGGCTCCTTGAATAGCAGCTTGTGCAGCAGAATTCTGGGCTTTCAGCATTTCAATGGTTTCCCTTAGCTCTATAAGCTCAGATTCCTGTGGGAAGAGCAGAGAGCTCAAAATACATGGCACAATAACAATGTTTGTCTAAGCTAAAACAAAAGACAAGATAGGAGTGGTCAAACGGAAGTTCATGGGACTGCTTGGGTGAACATAAGGACAGCAACTAATGAAGCAGAATGCATATTTTCTCACCAAAGATATCCAACTCTACTACAGTATTATTTTGTATTTATTTTATATAAAATGATCTGATATTTTAAGTCTCAATTGAATATTCATTATAAAGTTAGGAGAAACTAAACAATTTTATTGCAAAAGACAATAAACCCATTTGAATCACATTCTTTAGTATGTGAGGCAACAGTTTAATGAATGAATCTCAACCTGAATTTGTGTATTTTTTGAAAGATTTGACTTACTAAGTAATAATTCAATTTTTAAAACCCTGTTTAATGGCAAGTGTTTTGCAGATTGAATTCCTCCACTTGAGTGCAGGAAGTGCTGTATTAGAATGCACAGACAATTTTAATTAAAAAATAGCTTTTATTACTGCTGCATTAAACCTGTCTTTCCAGCCTGTACTTATATAAGGAGGATTAAAGGTATTTAACCTGAACAATAGAGAAAAGAAGAGAACAAAGAGAATATGTTAAAATCTTTTTGGAAAGAAGCTTGGAGATGATCTATTTCAATGTCACTGCTTAACCTCTTCTGGAAAGAAAACCGTCTGATGGAAATCGTACTTTGTAACAGAGTAAAGAAAAATGTTGGTTTTAAGAAAGTTCTATTTTGGTTCTTTTGCTTAAGACGAAATAAAACAAGCAATGCAAATATTCTCTAGTCAGTTTATAATGAATCTCACCATATTCCATCTGTTGGTGCTCAATCAGACTGTGAAATGTTATTTTTGTAGACAGCTACACTGACTCCAGTGGTGACTAATAGCTCACTGATATACAGTTTCTTTCATAGTTTGGCTCAACAAGGCTTTTCTGTTCAAAATGAATAAGGGTAGAGAGCTGGAAAAGTTCAGTCCTGGAAGGTGCTAAGCACCCTCTTGATCCTGAGCTTGGTATAAAGGCTCACATTAAATTTGCTCCCTATCAGGTTTAGATATTTTCCCCCAATAGTCAAAAAAGCACAGTGAAAACCTAAACTGTTTCCTCATGAATAGGATACCCAACCTGCACTACCACTCTGAATGGAGTAATTTTTCTCTACTTAAAGTCATTCCTTTCCCATAATTCTAAGTCTGACCATGCTGTCAGGCTGGAATGAAGCTCTCCAGCAAGTTCGGCTCAGTTTTTTATGGAATCTTTCAGTACGGATTAAATCTAGAGTAGCATATGTTTTAATTAAAATCTGGAAATGAAAGATTTTATCTTCAAACTATTCTGTGATATTGTCTGGGTAAACCTGATGCTGCACAGTGTAAGGCTCTTGGAGCCTTATGAAGCCATGGCCATCAAAGAAAAATCTGTCTGTCTTATTGTCACAGCTGTCCCTGTTTCCTCTCAGTGTTTTTTAAACAAAACTTGAATATAATCTGCTGACTGTTTTCCACATTAAAGCATCTACTTTGGTAAATGTACCTTTTGTTCAGCTGTCATTGTCAGACTTTGCAATCGGCCGGTCATGTTTCCCAAGCTTTTTTCGAAAGCTGCAACTAGGTGAGCCTGGGAGAGAAACACAAGACACCATTAATCATGACAAGGAGTCTTAAATGCACCTTGAGACTTTCAAGAGTTTCATATATTTTAGCTGGCCAAACAATACCTGGACTCTGTGAAACCCAGCACTCCCAGTCAGAGTTTTGTCTTGGATCTATAAATTTTTTTTGTAAATATTTTTTTTTCCCTCCAAGCCCATCTTCTCCAGCTCTTTTCTATTATTTTTAAACTTGGACTGAGTTAACCTGAGTAGGCGAAGCAACCAACTGAGCCCAGTGTTCCACAAGGTTCTTCAGCTCCCAGGGAGATCAGCTTAGATATCTCTGCCTGGAAATGAATTATGGTTTTAATGCCCTGCTTTGATTTTACTGATATATCGACCAAAATTAATTTATTCCCAAACAGAAGCCCAGGAAGAATTATTTTCAATTATTGAACATGGGAATTCAAGTACTTTGTCTTAAAAGGTAGGTTTTAACCTCACAAATAAAACACCCCAAAGGAATACTGAGAATTAAAAATATAATTTAGTTTTATAAAAGGTAATAGCTTAGTCTATTCAGCTTCTATTTTTAATATATACGTGTGTTTTGTTTTTTAAAAGCAATAAAAAACATATAAAATACATAATATTTATACATACATGTAAATGGATAATAAAAAATCTTTAAAATTGTAATTCTCAGTAAGAAAAGCAATAAAGTTGAAACAGATTAAATATTAAAAAAAATAAATTAAGTCTATTTTCTAGCAACATTCATTCTATACACATTCTATGCAGCCGAAATTTATACAAACAATATATCAATTCCTCATTGATTCTAACTAACATAGAGCTTTGTAGGAAAAGAAAGGCAATGATCAGAAAGAAAACAAGGTAGGCCAGCTTGTAAAGCTAAGGGAAAGCAAGATATATATAGATAGATAGATATAGACATATATTTTATGAAATCCAATAGCATTCCAGCCACTCCTCTCACAACATAAAATCAGAAACCCAGAAAAAAATACTTATTTTTTCTTTACCATCTCAAAAGTGGTAATAGCCAAAATTTTGAAATGTAGGCACTACAACATGCTTGGAAATATAACGCACAAAAAACATATTTATACCCACAAATGGATTATGTGAGCTTCCTGACCATGAAAATCTATCTTTATTATAGCTGTAGAGGCACACACAGTGCCTGGCAAATTTTTCAGCTACAGATTTGCATGCTTGTACAAGCACAGCTGAAATTGTTTGAATGTATGGGTTTGTACTGAATCTGAGGTACAATAATTCCAAAAAGGACTCTGTTTTACACTTTAGGATAAGGAAAACAGTTTCTTGCCACCTTGCTCTGTATATTATTCCTTAAAAAAAAAAAAAAAAAAAAGTCTCATATATAATGATGACACTAAGCTGGGAGGAGTGGCTGACACACCAGAAGGCTGTGCTGCCGTTCAACGAGACCTGGACAGGCTGGAGAGTTGGGTGGGGAGAAACCTGATGAAGTTCAACGAGGGCAAGTGTAGAGTCTTGCATCTGGGGAAGAAAAACCCCATGTACCAGTACAGGTTGGAGGCTGACCTGCTGGAGAGCAGAGTAGGAGAAAGGGATCTAGTGGACAGAACGATCATGAGCCAGCAGTGTGTCCTTGTGGCCAAGAAGGCCAATGACATCCTGGGGTGTATTAGAAAGGGTATGGTTAGTAGGTCAAGAGAGGTTCTCCTCCCACTCTATTCTGCCTTGGTGAGGCCACATCTGGAATATTGTGTCGAGTTCTGGGCCCCACAGTTCAAGAAGGACAGGGAACTGCTTGAAAGAGTCCAGCACAGAGTCACAAGGATGATTAAGGGAGTGGAACATCTCCCTTATGAGGAAATGCTGAGAGAGCTGGGTCTCTGGAGCTTGGAGAAAAGGAGACTGAGGGGTGACCTCATCAATGTTTACAAATAGGGTAAGAGTGAGTGTCAGGGAGATGGAGTTAGGCTTTTTTCAGTGATGACCAGTGATAGGACAAGGGGCAATGGGTGCAAACTGGAGCATAGGAGGTTCCATGTGAATATCAGAAAAAACTTCTTTCCTGTGAGTGACAGAGCACTGGAACAGGCTGCCCAGAGAGATTATGGAGTCTCCTTCACTGGAGACATTAAAAACCCACCTGGGCTCGTTCCTGTGTGATGTACTCTAGGTGGTCCTTCTTTGTCAGGGAGGTTAGACTAGATGATCTTTTGAGGTCCCTTCCAACCCCTAACATTCAGTGATTCTGTGATTCCATGATACTGTAATAGTGGTTCTCTTCTGTGTCTAAATTTCAGAGCTGTTACATTGATAAGTGGCTTCTGTGTTTTGTAAATAATTTTGGATAGCTTTAAACATTTCAGCATCTTGTAAACTCCTTGTTTTGTACTTATTTAACTTATTGCAAATTTATCCCTTTTTAGTAAATTATTTACTTAAATACTCGTGGGTATATTGGTCAGTCCACCTGCTTTCTGCATCTGCAGGGATGCCTTAGGGATAATCCTTTTGGTAAAGTATGCGTACCCCTAGGACTACTTTTTTATAAACATGAGACTAGTTACACATGCAGTTTTTAAAGGATTAATTAGCAATTGTGTTTGTTCCTATTTTAGCATTTATAACTTATGCTACATTCTTGAAGTTATAATAAAAATAACAAAAAAAAATTAACCTGGAATATGTGTCAAATGCAACTCTGAAACCTGTCGAACCATATAAAGTTATCCTAGCTAGTTTGGAAACTACAGCCTGAGGTTGTTTTCACTACTCTGTTCCTCTGAGAAGACAAAAGTAGCTAGTTTTTAAAATTACTCTTCACTTGCATAATTAGCTACATATTAAAAATATCCAGACTAATTTATGGTGTTGTAATTCCAAAGATTATGACCATTGACCCAGAACACAATCAAAGACAAAGTAGATGCTCTACCACAAAATTATAGCCAAATGTCTCTTCATTACATGTGTTTAAGAGGAAACTAATGGGGCTCACTGTTCCTTGCCTCATAAAAAAATCTATGGCTTGGCTGATGGCCCGTGGTTCTGCTTTACCATGAGAATAACAATGGGCACTGAGGGCTGGAGAAGGGGAATAATTTGCTTAATTATGCTTTGCTTTTGTCCATTTCTCACAATTAGACTGTGATAACCATAGTTCTTTAGTACCTAACTATGCATATTTGTGCAAAGCATTTTCTTATTCCATATCTACAACTTCAGCTTATTTTGTACATGAATAAACCACAAGAAACTTATAGAAAAAAAATAAGGACTCACAGGAAAAATTAAGAACTAAAAAGCATCATTAAAAATGTCATCAAAGGTTACTGAAATTATTGTCTGGTGTTCTTTACAGAAAGACAGTAATGTCACAACTGTGGATTCTTACTAAAATTCAGCCTGTGACTGATAGACTACATCACCTTCTTGGAGCTGCACACTACAATTTTTTGAATCATAAATGTAATTTAATCAAGATCATGGATCCTTGCTATTTCATTTGAGAAAAAGACTACCAGGTCTTTATTTGCTAATAGTAAAGAAACATAATTCAAAGCCCATCAGCTGAAAAGTATTCCAGGAAAAACATTCAATCGCATTGTTAATTACATTAAATGTTTGTTAAAATGGAATACTTTCCTATGAAGCACAAAGTATTAATTTACCTTCAGAGTAATAAGCCTTTCTCTGCAGTAGCAAATGCCTATTCCTTCAGCAGTCTAGGGAACTCCTGCTTGTAGAAATTTTATGCAGATTTGTCCCAAAAGAAATACTTTGTAGAAAAGATAGCTTGAAAAAGGCTAGCTTATCAGTATATGTATGTGTGTGTGCAAGTATGCATAAAACTTGTATGCATATATTCCCATTTAAGATCAGACTTTGCATGTAAGTAGTTAAATGCAAAATAATTGTGAAAAGAAAACTATTGGAACAAACAGAAAGAAGGAACTGTGACTTTAAAAATACTCATTAGAAATTAACAATTCTAATTAGAAACTTCTTTTATGCTTATAAATTTGGTAATTGATTTTGATTGGGTTGGTAATCCTCAGTTTCTGAGGATTAGACACTTTATCCAAAAGGATCCCTTCTTTCATTCTCATCAGAAATATATAGCAGTATATTTATTTTTTTTTAAATTACTGTCAATCCCTCACACCTTAGAAATGTCTGTGTTAGTTCCAGAAGTTGCATTCAGTGCAGACATCATTTGAATACCATACAAAATAGCTGCTATATACTCTAAAGAATTATCTTCTCAATTAAATGCAGCATTGTTTCTGGAAATAGATATACTGATATTAGAGTTAAGTAACTGGGCATTACTGGAAGTATTGATCTTTAACATAATATACATATGATGTACAGCTCTTAATCTGTAGATCCATCACATACGGATTAGTTTTGACTTTCATTAACATGTGGAATTCCCATTGGAAGTAGTCAAAGAGATACGTGCTCAGGGAATTGCTTCAGTGCTAAGATGACAGATTTGATTTTAAACATTTTCTCCTTAGCAAATGATTCCAGCCAGAAAAACCTCAAATACCTCAGCTCATAGGTTTGCAGCCCATCTTGAACATGACTTTGGCATACTCAAAGACTGCCCACTGTCACACTTTGCAATTTGACCTGCGGTGTTCAGGTTTATAAAACAAAGGTAAATAAAGAAATGTCCTCCCACCTGACACGGCTGAATGAAAGGAGGTGTGAGAGGCCAGAAGGGATCAGGCTGACTGCAAGCAGCAACTGTGCAGCTGGTGACCTTTTCTGTTTGCCGCTTGCTATTATCTTCTTGTTTGGCTGTAGGATAGTGGTTCAGAGCTGGCCAAACAAGAGTATTAGCCAGCGAACCTCCTCCGCTTTCTACTGGCATCCTGGGTCGACTACAGTTTGCAAGCAGGCACCCTTCAGCTTTATACAGTACAAAGCACAGATCAAAGTCCCTCTGAACAGGCTGGGTTCAGGCTGCTCACTGGAATTTGAGCTCTTGTCA